AAGGGCCTAGGCTGCAAACGTCAGCTTTCCCGCTCCTCTGATGCTGCTTGGCCTGCTGTGTTCATCCAGCTCTACACCTTGTTATCTCAGATTCTCCAGCATCTGCAGTTCCTACTATCTCAGAAAAGCTATGTACATCGGTTGAGGGACAAATTGATTAGCACAATGTTGCAAAAAAAAATTGGAATTGACATAACATATATGGAAGCTTGGTGTGCAAATTGGACCCTGTTTCCTGTATTACAACAGTTACTACACTTAGTCACAGCATCATAGATATCTACAACACGGAAACAGACCTTGCGGTCCAACTCGTCCATGCTGACTACATATCCTAAATTAAACTCGTCTCATTTGCCAGCATTTGGCCCATGTCCCTCTAAACCCTTCTTATTTATGTACCTATCCAGATACTTTCCAAATGTTGTAATTGTTTCAGCCTCCACCTCTTCTTCTGGCAGCTCATTCCATACGTGCACTACCCTCTGCGTGAAAAAGGTCCCTTTTAAATCTTTCCTCTCTCACCTTAACCACTTCAGAAATACTTTTTAGGCTTGGAGATGTCCGATAGTCATGAAAAGCTTTAAATAGAAATGCACGAATTTTGGAAACAGTCCATGAGAAACTAAATAGCATCAACTGAGCAGGGAATGCTATGAAAATAAATTCTTGTGCTCCTGGGCTATAAATGAGTGAAGAAGCCTTAGTCACTGCCACTCTCTGTTCCAGTGGAGTACTTTGTCAGCAGTGTATTAAAGCTGTCTCATTGAGTGGCTGCTTTGGTGACATGAAAGAGAATCCAAAAGTTTGGAAGTGTACATCAGCAGTTGGAGCTTTTGGAGAATGAAGGAAGAAAAATCCACCAATAAAATCGGAGGAAAAACAGGAAACCAGTTGACACTGAAATAGTTGGATGACATTCTGTCATGTTTATGTTGTACAATATTGCAAATAGGTTTAGCAATCTGAGAAATTATTTCCAGGGGCTGTTGATTAACTCTTATACAGTTGGTGTAGCTAAAAACCTTGAGTGGATGACACACAGTGCTGATCATGCTATAGATTTTCATAATGGTTTTGTATCAAATAGTGTTAAAATAAACACATCATCAAGGCCATAAATATTAGTCACCCTGTTGGAGAGAGGGTGAGGAGCAGGAGAACTATGGATCAATATTCGGGGCAGTCATACATAGACTATCTGGCAGCTGACTCATGGGCCTTAGAAGTTTGAGAGTAGATGGGCTGCCCATAATTTAAAACCGTGGACCATACCTTATGGATGCTTAGCCAAAGAAGAAAACGTGACAACATTTTGTTTCTGTTTTAGAGGGTACATTTACGCCTTTTTAAAAAATGCGCAGCTCCATGCAGCATTTGATATAATAGAGTTTTGAGACATTTTTTCGGTTTGATCACTTTTTTTTTTTCCCTGCACAAAGAACCCCAGACTGATATCACCACAGAATCAGAAGCTCAAGAGAGTGCAGCAATCTGTGTCCAATGGAGTTAATGCAAAGTTAGGAAAGGAAGAAGCTTGCGAAAGGTTGTAGACGATAAATATTAAAAAAAAACAGATGTGGATAGAGCAGTATGAGATACAGGCAACTGCATTTTGAACAGGTTGGAAAATTTTATGAAGTATGGATGAGGGCAGGTTAGTAAGACTAATATTGAAATGAAGTCCACAGATGGCCAATATGACTAAGGATTTCAGTATTTGGAAGATGGTTCAAAAGCATGCAGAGGTGATCATTTCTAGAAACAAGCCATCTTGGTGAGAATATTGAGTTCTGAGGAAGGGTCACCGGACTCGAAACGTTAACTCTGTTTTCTCCTCCGCAGATGCTGCCAGACCTGCTGAGCTTTTCCAGCAACTTTGTTTTCGTTGGTGAGAATACTGAATGTTTTTTCTTCGACAATCAGACTTTTAAAATTCAGAATTGTTATCAAGCTAGCAAGGCTGCATTTATTGTTCATTGCAAGTTATTGAGAAAGAGGTGGTCTGCACTCTGTGGCATATATCACAGTCCATTTTCACAAGAGTATTAGATAAGGAAATTCAAGGTATTGAACCAGCACCTAAGAAAGAATGGCAGTATACGTCCAAGTCAGGATGGTGTGCAATTATAGCAAGCTTCATAGTCTTCCTTGCACGATCCTGCTTTTGTCCTTTTCAGTAGCTAAGGTCATAGGGGAGAGAGACCCTTGATGAGTTGGTGCATTGCATACTATAATCCATATGTACTGTAACCAGAGTGTGCTATTGATAGGAGGAAGGTGAATGGATATGGAGTAAAATGACATGTAGCTAATCTGGTGAACTGCTTTGTACTGACTTGAATTGAATTACTCATGTTTTTTTAAGCTGTGCCCATTTGGGTGATTAGTGAATATTCTTCATTTTCCTGATAAAAGGTATAGAAGATCAATAGTTTTGAGATGTGTGGAGATGAGCTACCTGTTGGTGACTACCCAGAGCCTCCCCCACTCTACTGCAGCCACAGCACTAGACTGGTCTGCTTTAAAGAGATATTAGGAACTGCAGATGCTGGAGAATCTGTGATAACAAGGTGTAGAGCTGGATGAACACAGCAGGCCAAGCAGCATCAGAGGAGCAGGAAAGCTGACGTTTTGGGCCTAGACCCTTCTTCAGAAATGGGGGAGGGGAAGGGGATTCTGAAATAAATAGGGAGAGAGGGAGAGGTGGATAGAAGATTGATAAAGGAGAAGATAGGTGGAGAGGAGACAGACCTGGTTTGCTTCAGGACGTCGTCGAGCAGTTTCAGGGCGAAAGAGATTACGAGAGAGTTGCAGCGGGAGAGTGGTCACGGGCAGCCCCTGAGACTTTGATCTTTGAAGATTTCTGAATGGTGATTCCATTGATGTTTTTGGAAGGATGACTGGCGTGCTTCTTGTTTCAGTTGGTTCTATGTTCCTACTATTTCCTGGCACATGCGTGACAAGTTTGCCCACTAATTGTCAACATCCAGGCTGGGCCTGGTAAGGTCCTGTAGCAGATTGCTATAGCTTGCTTCATTGATAGAGCAGTTATCAATGACACAAAGTACTTGGATTGTCAGCAAGCATTCCTATTCCTCACCTTATGGCAGGAAGGTTATTGATGAAATAGCTGAGGATAGTCAGATTGAGGCCATTTCCTGAAGGACTCTAGCAATGTCCTGGCCTACAGCGATTGGCATCTGACAACCACAGCCATCTTCCTTCATGTCAGTTACTACACTTTCTGGGGTTCTGTTCTGTCCAACTGCTGCATGATTAAGATCTCTTGATTTTGCAAAGGCAGTTGTTTTTTGGTACTGTTTTAGTCATACTAATTTGTCTTCCTTCATTTTGATACATTAAGCATCTTGTTATGGTTTATCTGCTGGTGTTGAGAGTGTGGGAATTAAAGTCAGAGACAGAATTTAAGGAGGTAAATATACAGTGAACAGTGGATGAACGATATGGAAGTAATTGCCATGAATGGATCCCGCTTCAGCCTTGGAAGAGCTCTGTACAATCTGCCATTTGACTAATCACGTGCTAGCATACTGCTGGGAATGATATTTATAGTTGGTTATCAGCTGTTGTTGGTACTTTGCCCACTTTGCAGTGTGAGGCATTATGCCATTTATGCTTGTGATCTGAAAAGAATGTGCTCTTGCTATCAAAAATGTAAACAGTACAACTTAATTTTACAACAAAGCCAAGTTATGTATCCTACATGTGATGCATATTTGAGCCCTGTGAATGTAAATGAATTTGTTCTTGGAGAAACAAACTTTTACCTACCCTTGAACCAATCTGAAGACAGAGGAAGAGCCGTATGCATATGACAGGATTCACATTGTCTGTAATGAATGGTTACTCTGGCTAAATGAGTGACTTTAACATGAAATTATCTTCACAGTCTGTTGCATTATGTTCATTTGTGTCTAGAAGCAAGATTTATTGATTAGCAGTGAGGACAGAGCAATTACATAGTTGTGGTTCTGTTTCTCCTTGGTGCCCACCCTGATGACCTGGTTGAAGATGGAACATTCTGGGATCCACCAACTGGCATTTTACCATTCCATTGCTAAAATTCCGAATTTCTACTATTACAGGCCAGTTATTGTTGCTATCTGCATTTATTTATAGACTAATGAAGTTGGAATTGACTAACAGGGCAAGATTTGAGTAGTTGCTCATGGGCAAAATAATTGTATAAACTGTGTTTTGGTAGTCATTCCCAGTCAGTGTTTGTGACTATGGTTCTTTTTTGGGTTTTGCAAATGCTGTTTAAAATGTTAGTATTCTTTTTGTCTGAGGAGACCATTTTAGCTAAATAGTATTTTGTTTTTAACTTCAAATTCTACCATTTATTTTTGAGCATTGAGTGATATGGGTCATAATTCTCTGCGGTCTATGTCGATTATTTTGACAGGGTTCTGTGAGAATTTTGCATTCAAATAAAATCTCATATAAACTCTTGGTGATCTTGAATGGATACTTAGCAAAGATTAGAGAACAAAAACCAAATAAATTTTTAGGAGAGTCCATAAAGCAGAGAAACAAGTAGAAAGGTGAATTAGTTTTGGGAGAACTGCATCGAGGAGACTGATTATAATTGAAGGAGTGGAAAAAGAGAAGTAATGCAGTCAGAACAAATTGTACAGTCTGGGACAACAGCTGGAGAGATGATCACCTCACATTTTCATTAACTTGCCATGCAAAAAAAAGCCCCTGAAAATGCGCAGGCAAGTCGAACTACCTCTGCAGTTCAATATTCTGAGCAAATATTGTTGGTGCTGAAACATGCTTAATTATCCCTTCGAAGTACTTCTAGAATTAACTTAAGGAATATGCAACTTTAATCATTTCTGAAATAAGCTATTTTTCTGTTGTATGCATTCCTGTGCAGCATGCTGCTGGACAGATCAGTATTTTTCATCCCTTCAGAAATTGTTTTCAAACTTTTTCCTAACTGAAGTAAGTGATTTTGTTTTTCATTCCAGGAGACTCCAAACTCTGTTCACTTGGTGATGGAGGTAAGCCTAAAGAATATTTTTAACTGTTATTCTATTGTAAGATGGAAAATCATAAAATCTGATGGAATAAAAGTATTTACATTTCGATAGTTTGTTATATTCTATAATTGGTAAAGTCGGTAACTATAAATATTTCTCTGAGATGAAATAATATAAGTATAAGGATACTTGGATATGCTCATTGGAATCTTTGTTCTGGCTATCCAGCTTATCCATTTTAACCATCCGGTTAAGGGCTTGTATTGGTGTGATCACCAAATTTCAGCTAAGTGGTACAAGCATACAGCAGCCTGAAGGTATCAGGCAGGCTTCATTTTATGATCAATAACATGAGCAATGTCATGCAAAAAATTAAAGGAATTGAAGAAATGGATCACATGATAACTAAATTTTAATATGAACATGGAATATAAATGCAAAAGCATTTAAAGATACTTTCTAAATCTTTTAGGTTGTTCTCAGTCTTTGTGGCACTGTATTTGGGCTGTATGAGTTTAGGCAAGTGCTTGAGGAAAGTTATGTAAGTGATGGTACAAAGTGCTACAACCTGCAGGTTCTGAGCTTTTTGGGGTCTCTTAATGTTGTTTTTTACTTTAATTGTCCAAATAGAATATCTTCATGTTTTTGGCTGCTCCAAATGCGCTGACATTCAGTGTAATTGCGTTGTGCTCTTTATCTTTAGTTGCTCTTTTAAGCTTTAAGTATTTTCCAAATAAAAGATACTTAAATCCAGAAATCCAGCTTTACTATATTTGTAAGCTGGAGGTATAGCTTTCAACTTTTGCCCAGCACCTTCCACATCTTTCAGTAAGTCCACTTGCTTTTGCCACACGATTAAGCTATCTCTTCAGACCAAAGATTGGGAAGCGACATAAGTATCTTTAAAACTGTGTCACGTGCAATGCTTTGAGTCAACTCCTGGATAAGTAATCGTGTTGAGTGAAGTTGGTGAGTGGTCACGTTTCATTTTCTTGGTTAGATGTGAGAGAGAGATCCAAAAGAAAACTATTTCCTTCAACAAAATACTTTTTTTACACTGTCAAATATAATTTTAAGTTTGGAAGTATTATGCTATTTTTCTTATCTTCTACTTTACAGTATTGCAATGGAGGTGACCTGGCAGATTATCTGCAAGGTAAGTTACAATGTTCGCTAATACAATTGAAATAAGCTTAAACACTTGATTGAATGTTGTTTAAAGCGTTAGTGTTCAGAACTCTGCAAGGGCGACTGCTGACTTCTTCAGTACGAAAAGGGTAAATTCAACATTTTCCTACTTAAATACGTCTGCTTTTATTTGACAGTGTGGAGTTGTAAATTGAACATTTGAGGTGTCATTAACTTAGTGTAGCTCTCTGTGGATTAAAATTCTGTTCAGGCTTCCCATTTTTATCCGTACTTCAGCTTTGTTTGAGACATGTTTTCTTCTTTTTCTCTCCATTGTTATCACGATGCAGTGGAATTTCAAGTGGATAGAGCTTACTTGTATTGGAACAATTCAAGTTAGACAACTTGATCAATTTTATTGATCACCTCCAATTTAAACATACACACATTGACTCTAATGTTTCGAGTGTGTCCATATATATTTTGCATAGCCATTTGTTTTGTTTTGCAATATTCATGCTGCGTAGTTTGTTTTACTTTCCATTATATGACGGATGGCAGATCAGAGCATGGTATCTGTAGATTAAACTGAGTCTAAATTAAAACAGTTCCCAAAATTTGGGAATTTAAGGAGTTGAAGGAAAAGTTAAATACTCTTGAAAATATTTGTTTCGTTATTGTTTAATAGTTGTTGTTTATTTGTATAATCTCAATGACCGAAAGCAATTTGAGAAACTTCTTTTGGATTTCAGTTGGTTAAACTCTAAGTTATCACCACTGTATGGGACAAACAAGTATTTGCAACATATCACAACAGTATAATGTATATTTATAGAGGCTCTTGTACAGTGGTAGTGTCCCTACTTCTTGACCATGAGGGCCAGCTTCAAGCCACACACCCCAACCCCTGCTCCAGAGCTGCATAATCACATCTCTGAACAGGTTGATTAGAAAATATCCAGTGTACATTTATTCTTGAAATTCCTTTTTAGTGGAAATAAAATTACAGGGTAGTTCATATGAGTTCCCATTTCTCCAAATCTTGAACCAGAAAATAACATTGTCTTCATTGGGCGTATCTTGCTCGTTCTTTATAGTTAGTCCTGAGGTTACAGTTAGAAAAATTGATTGCATGTGTTAGTTTTGGAACAGGTGATTTCCTCATATGATGAATGTAGAACCTCAGAAATATTGTGGTTCAAAAGGAGTCCGTTTTGTCTACACTTGCTCATTTGAGCAAGGAAGTTATGCTGAACTGATACAAAACATTAGCTGCACATCAACTGGAATATTGTGTACAGTTCGACGTGCCACGCCTCGGGAGCAATATGAACACATTGGCGAAAGTGCAGAACAGGTTTACAAGAATGTTTCTCATCTCCAGAATCATAGTTATGAGGAAAGATGGGAGATGCTGGGACTGTTTTCCTTGCAGAGGGCAAGTCTAAGAGGAGCGTTGATAGAAGCTTCCAGAATCATGAGGGGTCTGGACAGAGTAGATAGGGAGAAACTTTTCCCACGTGTAAAAGGATCAAAAACAAAAGGCACAGATTTAAAGTAATTTACAAAAGCAGCAAATGGGATATGAGGAAAAAACTTAAGAAAACTTAAGGATTGCAATACACAGCCTGGAAGTGTGTTGGAGACAGATTCAATTGAGGCACTCAAAAAATGCGTAGGATGGTTATTCAAACACAAACACTGCACAGAGTCAGAAGAACAGGGCAGGACATTTAAACCAAGTTAAAATGCTCAGAGTCAGTGTAGAGATTATGGACGGATTAGCCTTTTTCTGCGCAGTAATAATTATGTGGTTCTTATTTTGAATGGATAGGATGCAACATTGTAAGTTAAATATAGGAAATACTGAGCAGGCCAAGCAGCATTTATGAAAAGAGCAGAGGAGTTAAAGTTTCAGATGTGGAATCTTCATCAGATCCATTGTGGCAATGTACCCAAATCATCAATGTGGTGTATATAGATGTGGCCTGACCTGCATGTTTCCAGCATTATGTTGTAGTTTGCTTTGCAGCATATCTGAGACACTGGTTCTTTTTCAAAAACCTAGTAAACTATCTACAGATGTAGAATTAGCATTGCAGTCACAGTGCCTCAGGTTTCAGAGATTTTATAAGAGCCTGAACATCCAGATATACTTACGTTTTGTAGTCTTCTATCGCTTTGGTTTATGTATCATATCGGGCCACTTAAACCTGCATGTAGTGCTTTTAATGGGGACCTCATCATTTCCCAGATTTTCAAATAACTAATCCTTTATTTTGAATAGTTAAAGGGACACTTAGTGAAGACACCATTAGAGTCTTTCTCCAGCAGATTGCAGCTGCTATGCGAATACTTCACAACAAAGGAATAATCCATCGGGATCTGAAACCACAGAATATTCTACTGTCTTATGTCAGCCGGAAAAAATCTCATATGAATGGAATTCGTGTCAAAATAGGTAAAGCTAAGATTGTTGTTCTCTTTAGCAAACTCAGTTTTGTGCACAGCATTACTTGGAGATTTCAGTGAACCCTCGTGCTTTTGTGAAGTGGGATATAGACACATATTTCCCATTAATCTGCATTCATCTCAAACTGCTGATTTAAGCAAATTTTGGTATTTCTGATGAGTGAATATCCCTCTTAACCTACTAATGGGCCAAAAGAACAAATAGGAATTAGAGGCTTAAACTGAACTGAGTTGCTTCAGCGTAATGGCTAGAATTGTTCAGCTCAAGGGCCAAAAATGGAAGATTGGTCACAGACTGGCACAGTACTGTCATGAAAGATCTGCTTCAATTCCTCAGTTCTATGACCCTTTGATCTTTTGCTTATAAATTTCTATGTCTGATGCCACCTCTCTCACTGATGCCTGAAGAAGGAACGAGACTCCGAAAGCTTGACTTGAAATAAACCTGTTGGACTATAACCTGGTACTGTGTGATTTTTTTTGACCTTGTCCAACCGAGTCCAATACTGGCACGCCCACATCAATTCACTTTTAGGGATATAGGAAATAAGAAGAGGAGGAAGCTTGAGCCTTCTCAATCATTCAACTAGATCACAGATAATCCTGTACCTTAGTGGGCATTTTTCCACACTATCCACATTTCCCTTCATATCAATAAATTTCTGGATATTATATATATAACCCTTGGAAATACTCAATGACTGAGCTTTCTGACAATTAATAGCCTTTGAATGAGAAAGCTCCTCAGCTCGGTGCAAAATGTTCTTTTTCTTAATCTGAGACTGTGTCCCCTGGTGCTACCCTGCCAGGGAAAGCCGCCTTCCTGCATCTACCCTGTCAAAAGTTTTTACACTTTGTTATGGTCCCCAGCCTCTGTTATTACAGGTCAGGTCAGATCCCAGTCTGATATCTAGCTTGATAGATCATGTTTTGTTTGTTCGGTTTTAATAGTGATCTTTCATGAAAATAAATATGCGATGCTCCATGTTCAGATTTAACATTGAACAGAAGTTCATTACATAAAATAAATGTAAAATAGAATAAACTAAACTATTTAGATATATAAGTTTAAGGATTTTGACATTGAGTAAAATACAATCCCATTATTCCTAAAATCAGCCCTTTACAGTATTCACAAAGAGAAAATTTCTTCTCTTTCATGCCTGAAGAGCTTAATTTAAAAGTGATTTCAATTCCCTGTTTTGAGAATCTGTTAGCCTCTTTTGGAGCCAGCAAATAACTGAGCTTAGATTTTCTCAGCTTCAAATAACCCCTGCAGGATTTTAACCAAACACTTCCGGTCTAAAACTTTGAAACTAAATTCCTTGACTGAGGTAACCTTGTTGCCTCCCTTTCTCAACAGCAATATCTAGCCTCAGCCGAAGTGTTCAAACTGAAATTAAAAAGCATTATCCAATATATGGGTGTTTACCCTAAGCCCTAAAAAAATTCCTCATCTGAAAGCCTAATGCATTAAACTGTTTACTTCGTTCCCTGATGTGAAGAAATCCCATTACTGTCCAGACATTCTCTGTCTAATACTGTGTTTTAAGATAAATTATGGCTACAGAAATTCTTGCAAGTTGATGATTAAGCCCCCTCAGAGACACTAGTGCTAAGAGTTCAAAATTCAAAAATCCCCAAAACAAATGATATTAAAATATATATAAACCACACACCCTAACAACATAGCTTCAAATGTTGATGCTGAGTTAGAGGGCAGGATTAAATAAGATCTTTACAACATGAGTCAGCCACCATGAAGCAATTTCTACTTGTGTTACATTAGAAGGAAATGAGCACTAGCCGCAATAGAATGCTACAGTTTACGTCAGTGCTTCTGACCCATGGGAAATGGAAAGTGACAAGACTCCTACTAATGATGGCTATCAAATGACTCTTGCTAGAAGGTGTGTGGATGTCTGGTGACTGCAGAATTGCTTGGCTATGACAGCTTAATGACTTTCCAAATCTCAATGTCCAAATTCTCATGTGACAAATTCTTCCCGGGCAAGAAGTTGGCACTGGAGGAGCTGTTAAGAGTCAGGACCTTCAGGAGAAGAGGGGAGTTTTTTTTCAAATCAAAATATATTTCCAAATGACAACAGATGCCTTTACACCTAATTCGGGGGTTTGCTTATTCATGTGGCAGATGGAGTTTAACCTAAGACTGTTCTCTTTCAAACTTGGCCCAAGATCTTTATTTACTGTTGCACTGCACATTCTCCTAGGAAGTTCCAAGAATTCTTGTATCTGGGTTGAGTAATTCCTAGAACGTAGATTATTTACAACTTTGCTGAAAGGCAAGCACGAATGTATGAAGGATTAAAAATAGCGGTGTTGTGCTCATTAGAGGGCAGTCAGTGTCATACTTTGTTTTTCCAAATAATCGCTATAAAAAGAATTATGCTGTCCACACTGCACAAGCTAAAATAAATACTCCATGATTCAAGAGTTTGGAATTAAACACAAGTTACGTGTTACTTGGTATCTTAAAATATTAAAATTGAAATGTCTACAATAGTGGACTTGTTTTTATTCTGGATTCATTTTTAATGTTGGCTTTGCTAACGTAGTCAGCCAAATAGATGTATAAAATCAAATGACCTGATTTCTTAAAGTACCACTCAATCCCTGAACGTATTTGAATAATGCTACAAACATACATACCAATTGGGGCGGAAGTAGATCACTTGGCTCCCTGAGCCCACTCAACCATTCATTTAACCACAATTGCAAAGGTCTGTCATTAATTTTATGTATGTTTTTAAATTTTTTTTTCTATATTTTGGTCATATTTCTTGTATTTTAGAGTCAGTAAATAACACAAATTGAATTCATTTGAGAAATGTCTGTTCTGAGTCAGTTGCCAACAGCTGTTAGAACCACATTTTAACCTCCCATGTAGGAGATTTGTTACCAGTTCCTTGACACTGATTCTCTCGAGCTACTCGGAGGCTTCATTGCACAGCAGCAATGTTTTCTCCTTTAATTAACCATTATGGTGGTTTGCTTCAGTTGCAACTCTGTTTTAGTGAGGCACAGTAAGAATCTTGGCAGCATTTCCTGCTGCTTCGGTATTTTTCTTATTACTAATAACATTGCTTTTTGGTGTATTTCCTGTGCACAAAATTACTTCTAAGTATGACTATAATAATTTACTGTAATTCAGTGAATATTTTAAATATAATGAGAAGCAGTATAATTGCAGGTATTTTCTGGAAATAAGTTTACTTTAGTCAGATATTGCGGAAAAATCATGTGGTTCCAATTATTGGAAGTGTTCTTTATATTTCCTCACAGCTGACTTTGGCTTTGCCCGGTATTTACAGAGTAATATGATGGCTGCCACCCTTTGTGGGTCCCCCATGTACATGGTGAGTAAACTATCAGCTTTTACCAAGTGGGATGGAGAATAGTTTGTAAGTTTTTACAGTAGAGAAATTATATTTACTCCTACTTGCCATCTGTTATTGGACGTATTGACACCACCACCAAACCAGCCTGATTCCAGGTTAATACTCAGACAGATTCTGAGCAAGGCCTCACACCTAAGATTTAGTGTCTGACCTGAGATGTCACCTTTTGTACGTTCCTATACCTCTGCCTGTTTGTCATGACGGCACAGCTCTGACATTGACTTTATAAACACTTCACTCACCGTCTAACACTCTTGGTCACCTGCAGAGACTTATTATCTGACACTTCACTCACACCAGTTGTATGATGTTTTGATCTCTCTGACTATAAACTCTGTGTCTGTGTGCTCTCCTCTCTCGCTTCACTTGACGAAGGGGCTGCGCTTTGAAAGCTTGTGATTTCAAATAAACCTGTTGGGCTATAACCTGGTATTGTGAGACTTCTGACTTTGTCCACCCCACTCCAACGTCGGCACCTCCACATCATGGTTTTAATTTGTCTAACATCTCCCGGATAACTTCCCAGCTAAGTAAGTTGGTTTTCTCCTAGGTCTCGGATTCCAACTCCAAGCTGGAGGCATTCGCGTAGTTAGCTAGGAATTACTCACTGAAAGCTTAAATTTCCTGGGAATTTCTTGCAGAGTTAGTACATCTGGCCATCCCAAATGGTCCCAACATATTTTTGATGCTATGTCCTTTCTCCAATTTACCAGAGATCAGGTGATCTGGGACATGAAAATAGTTGAAGATTGTGAAAATACACTATGCATTTTTAAAGACATAAACAACACTAGATTGGGGACTGGAGTAAAATTTAATGGCTTTACCCTTTATTGTGGTATTGATTTTATTTTTTGTTTCAGGCACCTGAAGTCATTATGTCGCAACATTATGATGCCAAGGCAGACCTCTGGAGTATAGGCACAGTAATTTTTCAGTGTCTTGTAGGAAGGCCTCCTTTCCAGGTAGATGTTGAGAGATTTTTTTTTTTTTAAAAACAGAATTTACCTTTGATTATTCTGAGATAGTTTGGTTTTATTATTTTCAAATTGTGCAGTAATATAACAGACATACGTATGAAAACAGACACAACAGGACAAATGGGGAAGAGAAATATATTCTGAAGAAGGGTCACTGGTCACCTTGAAATGTTGGCTGTGCTTTCTGTGCACAGATGTTGCTAGACTTGCTGAGTTTCGCCAGCAATTTTGTTTTTTTTTTAAGAGAAATATTATGTAGTTTTACACATTTACATCAATAATACTTCACAACGCTTTGTCATGTAAGAATTGGGTATTTACAGTGAAGTTGGACGAAATTAAACTGTACTGAAACTGATCTTGTTAATATTACAGTAACCGAATTTGCAGGTAAACAAGTGTATCTTAAGTTTTTGGCAAACAACCTTGCATATGGAGTTAATTAGCTGGGAATACCTTTTTAGAAATTGAGAACAGAAATAATGTTTTAATAGAATTGGTACAGATGCTTATTTTAATTGGTTTTTTTAATTTCCTTCTCTTTGAAGAACTTTGCTTCTTGGATGCATGCAAGTTGTACTAAAGGCCTTAATTTTGAGTGCTGTATAACATGGATTGTATGAAATATATCCAGTAATGTACTTATCCACGTGGATGATTTCTTCAGGATCCATTAGAAAGATTGAATGTTACAGACATGCCAAGCACATAAAGAAAATGGAAAAAAATACTTATGAAAAATTTTCCATGCAGCAGTCTCAACATTAGCATTCAGCAGTGTATTCTGACATCAGAATTAGGTCATGTTCACTGACCTAATGACTGTATTTATCTCTGCAATGTTTCAACAGTTCAGTGTTTTAGAATGTAAAATTTGAAATATGTGGCATATGTCTCGATGCTTACACCCACCGGGCAATTTCTTAATGGCTATTGTTCTCTAGAGTAACTGGGCCAGCATCTAATTTTTATTTGAAATCTGTCTTTGTTGTAGGCTAACAGCCCACAAGATTTAAGGCTCTTCTATGAAAAGAACAAGACTTTAGTACCCAAGTGAGTATTACCTACTTTATCTTGGGTCAAACGTGGACCCCTTGGGTTCTTTCTTTCTTTCTTGACCAGTTTGACACAAGGAAGCTTATCAAGAGCCTTGCATAAACTCCATGTAGATCACATCAAATGCTCTCTCACATTTTAACATCAGGATTTAGTGTGATTTTTTTTGTTACCAATTTTGATGATTGTGCCCAGGATTGTTGCTTGGATTATAGAATTCAGTCTTGAACTGTCAAAAATGAAAGAAGTTGTAAGAAAGGAATCTTTTAGATGACCATCTTTCGAGATTGCTACATTTAATTTTTTTGAGATTTTCTTTAGTACTGTCAAACAAAGTTCAGAATTACACTGTATATTTGCAGCGAATAGGAATGTACTGCTGTTATTTTGTTATTGCGTTAGTCTTTTTAAGCAACTTGTTTAAGGTGTTGGAGCTTGGAAATTGAGTTGCTTCCATTCTGTGCACTGTTGCCACAATGGATCTGTTATAGCACTGCTGCATGTGTGCTGAGAATTCTTTCTCTATAACTTCAATAACATACCCAGCTCTGACTTGAGAAACATATACCATGCTATAGTGCTGAATTGTTTTCTGATTTCCCGCATCATCTGCCCTCTTAAGATCTTTCCGCACAAGCTTGCTAATATGGACCAGATTTTAGACAGATCTGTAGTTTGAAGCTAACCTTCCCACATGGAACCTACATGGACCATTAATGCTGAGTACAGAACCTTCAGTCCCATCACTTAGCTTGACTACTTTTAATTGGAAACTATTGCACAGTTTCATGTGCTGATGTTGCTAATACCAAGGCATGTGAATTTAGTAAATATGGGGAAAGCAAAATTTTGAATTATTGACTAACTGGGCAGAAGGACCGCAGAATATAGGGCATCATAGAATGTAGTGTGATGAGCTTCAGTTATGCTTTACTTTTCTCACTTCAGTATTAAAGCTTGATTTTATTATTCTGTCTTTCATTGCCACTTTGTCTTTTGACTTCTACCGGTGATGGTGATTCATTTATCAAACAGCATCCCAAGCGAAACCTCTAGTCACCTGGGTGGCCTATTGCTTGGCTTGCTTCAGAGAAACCAGAAAGACCGAATGGATTTTGGTGAGTTGTTGGTTTTATTTCCCTTATTTAACATCCTGTGCTAAGTTTTAGATCTGCATTGAACTGTAATTACCTTTGCCTCAGCCCATCTGTTAATGCATAGATCATAGATCATAGAATCCCTGCAGTATGGAAACAGGCCATTCAGCCCAACAAGTCCAACTTGCCCCTCTGAAAAGTATCCTACCCAGACCCATTCCCCTACCATTTGTCTGTAACCTGGCATTTTCCATGTCTAATCCACCTAACTTACACACCCCTGGACACTATGGGCAATTTAGCATGGCTAATCCACCTAACCCGCGCATCTTTGTTACTGCATGAGGCAAACATGCTTTTTTAAAATTTGTGCGCTTGGCTATTCCAGTGCTCTCCTGCTGGCCTCATTTGAGCTCACCCAAAGCAATGCTGTTCGTATTTCAGCTTTCACAAAATCCCGAAGACTTATCATTCTTTTGTTTGTTGACCTAGAATGGCTCCTGATTCAGCAATGCCTCAATTTTAAAGATCTCATGCTTGTTCCAGATTGCTCCAGGGGTTCCATCCTTCCTATTTTTGTAACTTCCTTTAGCTCTACCTCCAATTCTGGTCTTGTATGGCATCACTAATAGTCATTGTTCCAGCATTATCAGACAAGCTTTTAGGTGCCTGGGCCTTAAACTTTGGATTTCCTATTTTAAAGTTCGATGTCTTTTCTCCAACTTCCTATTAAGATACTGCTTACAACGTAGCTGTTTAACCAAGCTTTTAGTTTCATGTCCTAATAGTAAAAGCAAACATTCATATGACAAATTTAGCATAGTTAAACTTCCTAAGAGGCTTTATCAAACAAAATTTAACCTTAAGTCACATGAGATAAAAGGACAGGTGAATAAAGATCTGGCTAGAGGTAGTTCTTAAAGGGTGTTGTAAAAGATACTGGAGCATCATGAGAGGTTAAAGCCTTAACTAGATGTGAGTTGAGAGTTCTATCAAATTAATGTTGTATGACAAATTAAGTGCGGTTTATAAAGTTATGATCCAACTAGCGATACTGGACAAGTCAGATTCCAAAGTGAAACCCAACTTGATTAGTCATAAATTTGCTTTTGGTTACTACGGTGGTTAATAACTGAACGTATTCACAAAGCTGCCAATGTTCTTTAACAAAAAAAACGCAAGTTTATTACGCAAATTAACATAAGCAGCAAAATTTCAACCTTTTCCCCACCAATATTATTTGCAGATACTCCGTCCTTGTGAAGTGCAGCAAACGTTTTATTAACCGACGCCTTTGGGACCAAGAGTGGACCGGTTGATCAAATATTCTGGTTGATCAAGAGGTCCAGATTATCAATGTAAAAACGTACACTAAGTAATGGAAATGTAATGCAAGGAGTATACATATCAAACGGCATAAATCACTTAAATAATAAATTACATAAAACTAACTGGCAGCGACCCTTCTCAACTGACTACTCAGACATTGTGATAATACGGTAAACTTCTGGTATTTCAGAGGTAACATTTTTGCCAGTTTATTGAGTGTGCCAGTTCATTACGTGCTGGTTAAAACAAAATTTGCTGTAATTGGTAAATTTCTTACTCAACTGATTCTTTCCGTTTTTGATGGCTTTGAGACCTCTTTAAAATTCCGAGGGCCTGGATTTCTCTTCAATCACAATGGTCTAGAGCTGGTTCTGTTGTCATAGATAGTGTTTTATTTTTGATGGATTGAAAATTTTTACACAGTCTCTCTGTTTGAGACTTAACATAACCATCTTGCCAAGGTGTACTGCTCCCCTGAGCTAAGAACCTGATTCAAAATTGTAAACCTCTGGTCTGTTTTCTCTGTATGTTATAAGACTATGCATTGTAAACACATCCGTCAACATCACGGGCCCTGCTAGACACTTAACATGTCCCATTCCTTCTGGGAAGGATGTCTTTAGTGCAATGTTCCATACAACTTTCTGACCTTTTTTAAAATACTTTCACAGAGCCTGAAACTGCACATCTAATTTACTACTAACTTGAAATCCAAATTCTCATATGATGATACATTTTGCACCTTTATCACGCCTGCCGCCTAAGGAAAAATGAAAAAGTATCCTGAAGAGGCATTTATTTTCCATCAGAATTCCTACTAATCATTTTCTATTTTACGTTGGCAGTAATAATATAGATTTGCATTAAACAGAAGGACTTTCATAAATTATATTCTATCCAGCTATTTTGACCACAGCAGTTGTTCTCATAATGTTTTCTCTTGACAAACTGTACTGTTGTAATATCTTCACCTTTTATGTGAATCATTTGTAAATTGTATGGTAGCATTAAATTGTATATTGCATTGAACTTCAACAAACTAGTCTTTTAGAATTTTATACTGGAATCTCTCCAAATAAACAAAGGGTTGTGGGCTGTATAAAGAACAATCTCTTCATATTTGTTAGATATGAAAACTTCACATTGATATTGAGCCAAACTAAGCTCAGTATCTCTTTCTGTACTGTTGACTATATCCACTCGTGCATTTAATTTTATGGAAAAATGATGTCCATTCAATCCCCATCTTGTCTTTCTGTAACAAAACTGTACTAGCGCCAATATCCCTGACGTTGACAGCTAGTTAAAATGGCTTCTCATTTCGACGCTGCTAAATTTGGCACGGTGGTCATCAGTGCTTTCAAATTGTCATAGATGCCTTTTTTTCCATTCAAATTCCTCGTCTTTCTTTTTGTTATCTTCTCTTTTCATTACTCTTTTGTCTCTTACTCTTTCCTCTAACTTAAATTTTTTCATTGCTGACCAAATCTTAGCTAATTCTAGCAGTGAATCTCTCTTTCAGGTTTCTTTCCTTTTAATGCCAAATACTGGCTAATCACTTTAAATGATTTTAAGGTCTCATCATTACAAGATCTTGCTTTTATTTCTACCTCTAACCCATTTACTGACGTTCTCAGTTTAGCCTTAGTCAAAGATTTCAAATAATCCAGTTATGTCTTCTATTCCTAGAAATGTCCTGGCAACATGTTGAAATTTCAAAATAACTAAATGTAATAAACTCCATAGCAACTCCTGTTTTTGGTTCCAATACCTCCACGTGCTTCTTTTTCTTTTTGTAAGTTCATTATTTGGACTTTACACTGTGGGGTTAGTCATTGAACATATTCACCCGAGGCTGCTAAAGTCCTTTAACCAAAGAATACAAATTTATTGCATGACAGAAAAAGAAAAGAGACAAAACTACAGAGTTTATAAACATTGTTTTGCTGTTTATGTTAAAAACTAAGTTTGAATCTTCCCCCAGGAGCATGTTTTACAGATGGCCAATGCCAGTGAAGTTTCATTTCAGCTTAGTTCTTTAACTTTGTTCTTAACTGAGTCTTTACAGTTTTGAGGGCCTGGATTCCTTTTCTGTTCTGATGGCCTAGAAACTTCTTTTCAGTTTTTACTGCTTGAAAACTTGTATCAAACTCTCTCAGCATGGAGCCTTAACAAAACTAACCTGCCCTTCTGTGAAGGTAAATTGTTCTCCTGAACTGAAAGTGTTCTGAATTGAACAATCTAGTGGTCCTGGTCTGTTTTTTCCGTATGCTGTAAGAATCAACATTGTAGATAACTTGACTGGTTAACATCACAGGGGCACCTCTAGGTTCGTAACTTAAGTCACGCGTCTTCTTGGAAATTATCTTTAGTTCATTGTTCCAAATGACTTGATATCCTCTTAAAAAAATTCAGTTTACATTTGTAGAGTTGAAATCACACCTCGTCTCGCTCTACTTTTAAAATTTAAATTGCCAAGTGCTAATGTATTATACACATTCATCTTCCATGAATTTCTTCCCACTTCCAGAATTATTTTCACCCCTGAAGGTAGGAGAGACCCACCCATGAATGCTTTTTTAAAATTTATGCATGGGATGAGAGCATCGCTGGCTAGGCAGCATTTATGGCCCTTCCCAAAAGCCCAGAGGGCAGCTAAGAGTCAGCCATATTGCTGTGGGTCTGGGATCACTTAGGCCAGACCAGGTGAGGATGGCAGTTTCCTTCCCTAAAGAACATTAGTCCAGTTGAGTTTTTGCGACAATCAACAATGGATTCATGGTCATCATCAGACTCTTAATTCCAGATATTTATTGAATTCAAATTCTACCATCAACTGTGGCAGGATTTGAACCCAGGTCCCCAGAACATTATCTGGGTCTCTGGATTAACAGTCAAGTGATAATACCACCAGGCCATCACCTCTCCTTGCATTGCCTCCCCGTGATATAATTGCATTTACTGCAATCTGTTCACAGATCCACTTTGGCAAGGCAGAGGAGTCCACCCACACAAGTATAATATCGCACTCCATGAGAAACTGACTCTGGTTGACAAAGTAATCCCTTAGGGGATTGCTATTGTCTATAATACTGGAACTCAAACATAAATTCATAATTGCAACTGATTTTATAGTTCACATTGGTGCTGCAGAAATTAACAATATACTTTGAACTACATGTTTTAATCCCAAATGGCTGTTTAGTTTGTCTCCAATCACCAGTTATGTTGTAAACCATTCTGTGCCTATGCATTTCTGTACAATGAAGTATTGAATATGGAGTTTAAAATTCATTGTTTTGTTGGAAAATAAATATGTTTATAATACCTTTGAGACACGACAAATATTTTTGTAGCTTGTAATATTTGTTCTCTGGAATCTGTGCAGAATGTTCAGAGGCAGCTTTAAACCATCTGCAGTTTCAATGAATAAAATAAGCTGAATTTTTGTTTTTCAGAAACGTTCTTTAACCATCCTTTCATGGATCAAACATTGTCAGTCAAAAAATGTAAGTCTGTGGTTTTGTTTTGTTGTTAGCGGTCTTTGCTAAATTGTTGAGAAATTGCTTCAATCACCTTTTCATTTTGGTTTATAAGGCCAACATTTAATGTCTCTCTTGATAATTTCTACTTTGGAAATGCAGCAAGAAATTCTGCTTCCACCAGTTTACCGATTCTCTTCCAAAGCAACTGACTGCAGTTAGTTGATTCACTCCCTTGAGATAACAACTGTCTACCAGAACAAGTGTTTAAATTTAGTTGCATTCTTTCATGGGATGTGGGCATTGCTGTCAAGGCCAGTATTTGTTGCCCATTCTCACTGCTTTTGAAATGAGTGACTACCAGAGCTCTTCAGAGGACAAGTCAAGAGTGAACCATTATTGAGGTAGGTCTGGAGTCACATGCAAACCAAGTAGATACGGCAATTTTCCCTAAAGTACGTGAGCGAACCAGATGGGTTTTTACAGCAATCAGTGACATTTCAATGCCGCAATCACCTGAGGCTAATTGTTATTAGTTGAATTTACACCCATCGACTACTTTGGTGTGGTTTGAACCCATATCTGCAGAGTATTATCTTGGTCCTCTGGATTGCAAATTCAGTAAAATTACCACTGCACCGCCATCTTTCTCACCTAATTACAATGCTGCTGAATGTAATGTTCACATGATGCTCTTTTAATGAAATTAAAAATGCATTGATTCAATGTCATTTAATCTCAAAGGAAGTTTAAATTTAATCCAGGTCACTGATTCTGTTGGATATGGTAATATATTTGCCCCAGACACACCTCTTCCCTGCTTCCTTTAAAGAATTTCTTTAATCTGTTTCTGTGTCTAATTGCGCTGATTGTACCTTTGTACCTCCTATGTTGCATAACAGTCAAATCAGGATCCAATAGCAGTTGTATGAAGGCAGTCAGCTTGTCCTGTTCCTGTCTGGGTATTCTGTGAGAGGTTTTTTGCGGGGGTCATGTAGTTTAGAGGAAAGAGGCAATATAGGAAAGTACATGCAATTCATAAATGCTCATAAAAATCTGATTTGTTTTGCAAGTAGTTTTTGTACGATGGAGTATCTTAAAGTTTATTTGTGACCTTTGCCGATTTATCTTTTGGTTTCCTCTTCCCATTACCTGTTGTTGCACATTCCATTGGTGGCAACAATCATTTTCTTTGAAAGAAAGGCTTTCACTGGCTTAAAGTTCAACTTAAGCAAGTGGCTTTTGAACCATTGTACTGACGTTGCCATTTTGACACCTGAAATCATATTGCGCTCAAATTGGTGACTAAAATAAGCATATTCATAAGTGGCTCATAGAGCCTAAAGGCAGTTAAACAAGTGAACTCTTGCATATCATTGGAAAATTAAGCAGCACTTTCAAACTTAGATAGAGATAGCAAGAACTGCAGGTGCTGGAGTCAGAGGTAACAAAGTGTGGAGCTGGAGGAACACAGCAGGCCAGGCAGCATCAGCGGAAGAGAAAAGCGGACGTTTCAGAAATTTCTGAAGTAGGGTCCTGATCCGAAATGTCAGCTTTCCTGTTCCTCTGATGCTGCCTGGCCTGCTGTGTTCCTCCAGCTCCACACTTTGTTATCACTTTCAAACTTAACTTCTGTTACTAATGTTTCTTCTTTTTAAGTTGCATTCTTCATTTAAAATAAAGTGTAAATTAGCTATCTAATGAAACAAAAGTAATTAATGCTGCTAGATTAGGAGAGGTTGAAGCTGGTAGATGACAGCATTTCCTGATATAGATCATTTCCATGACTTGAATGGTATTTTTCTGTTGCAGGCATAAAATAACAGCCTGCTGTTATTGTTTCTTCTCGCTATGGAAGTTTTTATTCAAGCTTTACTCTACCATTTTGCACAATGACATCAAGGGAAATGAAAGCACGATGTTACGGAAATTGTCCTTGCACTGTTTTTATTCCACCATTTTTTGAATTGCTTAAATCAAGACATGGTTGAATAATAAGGAGAATGATTGAAATACAGTTGATCAGTTAAATTATGGCTTTGCATTAAAATGTCTAATGAAATATAGCACTCAAGTCTAACCATTTGGAATGATTTCTATCTGCAGCATGCCCTGTGCCTGTACCCACGTGCCCTGGTTCTGTTTCTGGTAGTTCTTGCAGCAGCTCTCCGTCTTGTCATTTTGCCTCTCCTCCTGTGAGTAGCCTGTTTCAATGATGAATTATTTATTCTACTGGCTAAAATTGTGCCATTGAGATTAAATGACGAATTAAGTTGACCTTCAGTAATTTCATTAATTGATAATCATCGGTAAGTGGACAATTTGAAACTGCTGTAAAGACTTCTTGCTTACATGTATTTTGTATTTAATTCAACAAACATATTTGTTTCAGGTCAAAGGATATCCATTTAATAGATAGATAATCAGGAACACTTGTTAACCTAGACTTGCACAAAAAGAATCAAATCTGGCTGCAGAATTGCTAATGCTCTTAATTTATTAAATAAATACTTGGTCGTGCATAACTTAAACATTGCTAAAAGGAGTCGAAGAGTTGAAGCTTTCATCTTGCATTCGTCAGAGCTAGAACACAAACAGATTTAGGAAAAAAAATACACATTTTATACAGCTTGAGAAGAATGCGCTAATTGGCTGAGCCGTCGTTGGTGTGGAGATTCTGCAGAAACAGTTATTGCTTTCTTTCTGAAATAAGTGCAATATGTGTGCAAATTCTTCTTGCCTTCATGTGAGGGTCCTGTGTATTTATATATGTAGCTGCTGCATATGTATCGTATTGTGTATCCAGCTGGCAATTGGTTTCTGGTGCAATTCTCAGCCCATTCCAAATTATTTAATAAATGTTTTCCAATCGTAGAATCACATCTAATGGTGGATGTACTTATTCCTAACATTTACTGCATCGTAGAAGCTTGAGAAAGCTTGCTTCACCTGTCATTTAAATTTTGAGCCAATTTACAGGATGGTGCTGTCAAGCCATGAGGTTTTTTGCCTACCACAATGAGTAATGTGATATGAGATTGAGTTTCAGTGTGATGCTGGGCATGTAGATTGGCAGATCATAGCAAACAACATATCCCATTAACCATTTGCAACAAGCAGCATGCTTCTCATGCTCATCCAGCCTATGCTTGCAGGCTTCAAAAAAGTACATCCGCTATTCAGTGTGATTCTGCTATGGAAATCTTTTGTTAAATACTCTGGACTTGTAAACAAAAACTGTTGTGGAGCCCAACTTTGCTGCATCCCCATGGCAATGCACTGACCAATCAGACTCCATCTGCCTGATTTGAGAATTAAAATTGACAGTGAACTGTTGCTGAGTCTTCTTGGCAATGATGGCCCAGCCAGTCGCCACTCTTTCTGTGTTGAATAAATGGTGTCTCTTTAGTCAAATCTGTCTCTTACATCCTTATTCTGCTGAGTGTAAGCTTCAACTTCCCGGCTCAATTTAGCAATCTTATTATTTATAGAGAAATTAGCTCAACACTATTTTGACAACACACGTAATTCTGATTCACTCTAACACCAATTTAATCTGTATTCCAGCCAAGTTTGCAACCCTATATCAAAGCTAGCTGTAGATTTAGCCCACATAGGCAACTACAACTTTGTTTTTATGCATTTATGTCTGTAGACTGGTCTCTGCTTTGTTTTGTTGGTATTGTTACCAAAAGCACACCATATAGTGCATCAGAAGAACCATTTTCCTGTCTTCATTGGCAGACAGTTTGCAGAATTTTGAACAAAGTTGGAATGATGATGTGAAAACAAAGTGCTGCAGAAACCCAGCATGTCTGGCAGCATCTGTGGAGAGAGAGACAAAATTAATATTTCAAGCCCATGTGACGCGTCGGCTCTAAAAAACTGCTATATTGGACTCAAATCATTAACTATGTTGCTGCCATATCCATGATGGTTTGTAGCAATATCTTTTAAACCTTAAAACAGAATTCTTTTGCTTCTGTGCATACTTTTCACAGACAGCAGTAATTCTCAAACTCCAACTTGAAATTTCTGGTTCAAAGTTCTCCAAGCATTTTGGATTATCTGTAAGCATGCAGCATTTAGTGTTTGTTAGAGCTACCAACCATGACTAGATAACATGAAAGTAATAAGTGATCAATCATATATTTATGGTATCTATCCAAATCAGAGATTTGTTGAGTACGAGTGCAATGTCCATGATCTGGCTATCTGTAAGCTGGGCATTTTTAACAGTGTGCTGATTCAGCTGTAGGGTCTGTTCAGGTTTATGGGCTGGCATTAGTCTCAGGGTATGTAATTATATAATCTGTTTTCATTTAATGCTTTTATTATATTCAGGGCCTTTATTATTTTTATTCGCTGTACTGATTGGATGTCTGAAATCTGGGATTGTCTTTGCCCTGAAAGGGCCTGATTTTGGATCTCGAACTTGTATTCCGTAAATAATAATGTGATACCATCTTTTGTCATGGGATGTTTTGGCTCAGTGGCCAGTTTAAAGTTTAAAGTCACTTCTTCCATCTGAGATTAGTACGCTAAGTGGTATTGGCTTTCGTGTTAAATCGGGCCGAACCCTTCAGATCAGGCAATCAACTGCCAATGGAGACTTTTCCTCCACTTCTGTAACGAAAATGGATTTCAAGAATCCAAAAAAAAACTTGGATTTATAAAATGCTTTTTGTGAACACCGGATGTCTGAAAGTGCTTTACAGCCCATCAGGTTTTATAAAGAATTCTTCATAAAGAGTTGCCACTGTTGTAATGTAGACATAGGGGCAGCTAATTTGCATTTGGCAAACTTGAGCAAGCAGCAATGTTATGATGACCACATAATCTATTTTTATTATGATTATGTTGGAAGAATAAATTTGGCTAGGACACTGGGGATAACTCCCCTGGTCTCTTCAAAGTAGTGTCACGGGATCTGTAAGAGCAACCTGAATAGGCAGACTTTAGTGAATATGCATTTTGGTGCCTTAACAAGCCCTTGCTTTCCAGAGATTATCCTAAATTTTAGTTGTAGAGGAATTTTATAAAAATTGCAGAGAAAATTGACCAATCTAATCTTGTATTTTATGTGGTGAACTACATACACTGTCACAATCCCCCAAAGAGTAATATTTTAAGCATAAACAAATCTAAAACTGTTTTGTGTTCAAGAAGAAATCTGGCAGAATAACAGAATAAGCTGTAATTTGTCATTTTGAGTACAGTTCCATGATTATAGAGGCAAAATGTAATATTGTGTTCTGATATAGTAACGATAACACAAACTTTATTTTTCAGTCGTTACCAGATATGCAACGCATTCAGGAAGATGCTCTGTCTTCTCCTCCTTTGGGTCCGCCTAATTATCTGCAGGTTTCCAAAGATTCTGCCAGCAGTGGCAGTAAGAACTCTTCATGTGACACAGATGACTTCGTTCTCGTTCCGCATAGTATCTCCTCAGATCAGTCATGTAAGCAGCTACTCTTTGCTTCTGATGATTTTTTTTGTTCTGTCTATCTCAAATGTGTACTTTCGTCATTGTAGCTATCTAAACTCTAATACAAGCTGAGGATTTTGGGAGCAGCTTAACACCATTGTTGCAACATAGGCTATTGGGTCCTCAAACTGATTAGTAAATGTTAGGTTATTGTCAGCTTTCTGCAACCTTTTTTTTTAGCCATTGCATCTTTTCCAGGTTTGGGCTAAAAGCACATTGCTGCATAGAGTAAAGGTTTGTGTGATTGAGGTGCCCAATATTGAACCAAAATGGAATCTTTGCCTCCGTGACGCAGGAGAATGTTTGCCAAAAAATGGAAAATTTAAAAATTCAATGCAATCACTTTTTTGTTTAGTTTCTGGTGTAGTTTGTTTCTCCCTTCCAAATTTTATATACATCATTTTCAAGACTTATTCAAACAGTGGCACCTCCAGCAGGGCAGCACTCCATTATGCTACACAGGCATTGCTGGAGTAAGTCTTTAAAATATAAAAGAGGCACAAAGGTGCTAATTATATAAAAGAGGCACAAAGGTGCCAATTAGCCCAAGGTTGATATTGAAATGAGCAGATGATGCTGAAACTACATGGGCTGAATTGGCTGAATTCACATCTTTCCGAATAAGCAGGAAATGTGATAATTGTACTTTGGGTTTGAAACTGAAGTTTTTAACTTATTAATTAAATAGCTAATTTAGTCATGACTTAATTGTATTTGCATAATCCAGCAAACCACCTTGCTATGTTGTAACCCTGCTGGTATAGAATCGGTCTATGATCAGAAATTATCTGATGTACTGTTTAAACAATTACACAGATTTTAAAAAGGCTTGACCCCTTTTAATCGACTGATTTTAATCAGCGTGTAAACACTTGCCTATCTTTAACCATTGTATTCAGCTTGGAAAGGTAGCTGACAAAGTTTATGGTTCTAAGTCTGTTGTGAAAATTTACACAGATGACATGCCATTGGGGACACTTGGCAGACGAGCTTCCAGTGAATTTCTGATGTGTGGAGGGTATGTACTGGTCAACTAAAATTCTTTAATTTGTATTTGCTTAATAGCAATGGAGAGATGATTTGAAATTGTACAACATGTGTTGGAGATATGACCTCAACAGAGATATTGCTCTTTTTTTTAAAAAACCGCAAGTAAGGCCAGTTGCAGTGGATTAAGTTTGTTACTTAATGGATTTAGGATTAGACGGGGCACAAATTCAAAATTCACCACTTAAGAAAGATTCCAAACGAGAATTCGTTTCCTTTCTCCATCCTCAGGACATTAGAAATGTGAACTCCCAGAGAAAGTTGCTGACTTGAACTCCCCTTTAAAAGGAGCTGGATCAAAGTTATTAAAGATTGGGGATTAATAGGCATTAGGAGGAAAAAAACTTGAGCATAGAAATGTTACTACTTCATTAGTACGTTTCTCTGCTGTTTTAACAAAGATGGCAGTCTCTTTACAAAACATGGTTTAATCTTTTTAAATAAAGATCATTAAAATGCAGAAAAGAATTTGTTCATTAATATTTCCAGCAGTAATTTTGAGGCTTTTGTGCTCCTTTCAAAGGATCAACCGTGATTGGGTAGTGTAGGGAGAATTGAGTTCTCAAAACCATACATGGATGGGTGGATTGGGCTAAAGGCTTTCTTCACTTCAGACATGGTATATTTTATTATACAGTCATATATTTGAATAAAAGCTTGTATGAAACTCCTTGAAATTCATTGAACGTTTGCAGTATTATTAATTCAAAAAATATTCAGTTGATAAAATGCTGTCAGGCATGCACATAACTGTCGGCTTCATTAAGTCTGTTTCTCTTTTTGTGGAATGCATTTCTTAATCAGGATATGAAAGGAGATGAAAGTCTAATGTCTGTTGCTCTATAACAAACAGTTCTGATGTTTTGCATGGCTCCTTGTTATGTTTGCATGTGTAAACTGTGAATATATCTTTAACAAATTCTTCACTTGAGTAAAGTCCAAAAATGTATACTGAACTTTTGAAAATTAAAATGTGGCATTGCATCTCAGTACAATAAATGTTCAATTTAAAAATTCTTTCTGGTCTTTTACTTTAGGTATCAATTACTGAATTATACCTTTTAGTGACTATATTTTAATTTTTATAATAACTGAGGTGAAAGCATCAGTTTAAGTTTAAGTATGGAGATTAGAAAAAGTAGAGGTCTATTAGCTACGCCAAAAGTTCGGGTTTTCATTTTCTGTCAACTTTGCTCCTGTGAAGGATGTGTAACTCTGGCAAAAAAACAAGACTTTTTTAACCATTTGTTCTGTAGAAAGTTCTGAGAATAAATACATGGCAGATGTTTAATCTTAGCCAGTCGGAAGGAGACTTTGTTGAGTTATGAGTCTTGAGGTTGAAATATTCAAGTTCACAGGACAGGTCTTGCATTCGCAATTAAAAATTAAATCAGCATCTTCGACTTTCTTCCTCCTCAACTGTATCAGGCAGTCGCCTTTAACATCTTCTGGTGGCTCAGCTGCTCTGCAGAGACCTTCCTCAGCCTCATCCAGGTCAAGCTCTTCTAGCTCAGCCAACAGGTAGGACCTTCATGTAGAATTTATAAAGGAATGAACTTTGGGAGGGCTAACAGGAGAGTTTCTGCTTTGGATGCAGTTGAGAAGTTAAAACCAAAATACACTTGAAATTGTGCTGTTTAAGTTATGCTTCAACGTGCCAGTAAAATTAATTTCCCTCATCATGAATGTAAAATCTTCTATGAACTAGTGATGGTGCAGCTGGAATACTGTGTGCAGGACTGGTTACCGTAACTGTGGAAGTATGTTACATCATTGGAAGCAATTCAGAGAAGGTTTACGAACTAACATCTGGAATGAGCAGATTGCCAAATGAGGAAACGATAGACAGGCCAGACCTGTATCCTCTGAAATATATAAGATCCCCAGGACACTTGACCGTGTGAATGTCAAAAGGATGTTTCTTCTTATGGCCAAACCTAGAATTAAGGGTCATAATTTAAAAATAAAGGGCCGCCCATTTAAGTCAGAAATGAGGAAACTTTTTGTCTCTGAGGGCTCTGTGTCTTTGGAATTCCCTTCTTCAAAAGACAGTGAATACAGCATCTTTAAATGTATTTAAAGTAGAGGCAGATAGATTCTTGATAATTGAGTGAATGAAAGATTATCGGGATTATGCAGAAGTGTAGGGTTGAGGTAAAAATCAGATCAGCCATGATCTCATTGATGGAACAGGCTTGAAGGGCCAAGTGGCCTACTCTTGTTCATGTTCTTGAAGTGACGTCCTACAATGTAATTGAATAGTTACTTTTTCCATTTTTAAAAATCTGCATTGTGTTAACTTGAAGCATTGTTAATATAGCTGGTGATGTATTATCATCAAAATTAAAATTGAAATAAGGGTCCTCAGTCCTTCATCTGTGGGTAACCCAATTTTAAATTATTGAAAATCTATTCTTAAAAATATAGAATTAAAAATAGAAGAACTTTCAAAATCTGTTCCCAAGATAACGTGCAATTTGAAGAGCTTTTTGACCCTGCGAGTGTGGCCACTGTCTGGAACCGGGACTTGATTGGAGTAAATAGATTCTTGGACCGGTATAAAAGATGATGGAAAACATGAGTTGAAGTGCTTTTTGGGTATCATTCACCTATGTTTTAAATTTACTAGTCTTTGGTGGTGGTTCAATTGGGTGCAGAAGTGGATCGGTTTCCTGCCCCAATGTTTAATTACCTGTTAGTCCCCGGGAAGTCAACTGAGACAAGACTTGGAAAAATTTAAATTGAATTTGCAATTTTTTAATACCTTTGATGCAGAGGATGTAGTATTTGAAAGTTGTGATTATAAATTAAAACATTGTGCAGAAGCTGTTAGTTTTTCAGTTCAGCACACTTTTTGACTGGCGATTTTTGTGGGGGAGGTTAAACTTTTTCTTGAAAAAGGAATGGGAAGCTTCCAGCAGAAGAATAAATACTTAAAGCATCCCATGGAAAGTTGTAAAACCCCTGAATTTCTGTCAAATGGAGCAAGATTAATTGAGGTTATTGTTGACAAGAAATCGAACTGGATCAGCATACAACTGCTATGAGTATAAGAGCATGTCAGAGGCTGGGAATTATGAAGCATGTAACTTACCTCCTGACTTCCTAAAGCCTATCTGCCATCTACAACGTGCAAGTGTAGCTTCCACTTGCCTAGATGCAGCAGCCGGCTTCCGGCAGAAGCCCAACACCATCCAGCACGCTTGATCAGCACCTCCTCCTACCTGCTTATTCCTTGAACAGGCACACAGAATGGCAGCAGTGAGTATGATATGCAAAGTGCACTGCAGCAACTCAAGGTTCCATTGATAGCACATTCCAAACCTGTAACTTCTGCCACCTAAAAGGGCAGAAGGTGTATGACAGCATCAGCTGAAAGTTCCCACCTAAACCATGCACTATCCTGATTTGGAAATATATCACTTTTTCTTCACTATCACTAGGTCCAAATCCTGGAACATTCTTCCCATCAAAATTGTGGTTCTACCTGCTTTAGATGGTGCAGAGACACCTCCTTGAACTCCAACAACCATCTTCAACAAGAGCATAGTTAGAGATGGCCAATAATGTTTGCTTTCCCAGTGATGTTCATATGCCACAAGATATTTTTAAAAGTATTCATCATGCGAAGTCACTAAATCAGCATTCCTGTTGAAATCATTTTTATTAGATTTGCTAAATACCATTTGGTACATGAGAATTAATGAATTAAAGATGCGTTAGTGCCATATAATGCAATGATCATGCCATATATGAGTCATTGTATGAATTATTTCCATGCTGTGGAGGACATCCAAGTCTGCTGACATGTGTTTTTCCTTTTTAATATTGACTCTGTTTCTAAAAAAAACCTAACAATGTATATGTGTTCCAAATCTCCTCCCTGCACCTAAAGGTAAATGATTATTTACTTCAACTCTTCAATTTCTCCCACACCTGAATGGCACAAGTTTTTTTTTAAGAAGTGAGGCATTGACAGTTCTTTGGCAGAAGTATCCTAAAACACAGGAACATTCTTGGTTTGGCCTGTTAATTACATTTGAGTTGTATGGGAAATGCTTTGCAGTTCAACTAAGGTAGGTTTTCTTTGTCCTTGAAGAAGTCAAGATTGCCATTTGCTTTCTGGATGAACTTGGCATTAATATTGAGTAGGAACTAAATTCCACACTTGGATATATGTGGATTGGTGTCCTGTGATTGTGTCAAACATATTAGCTTCACCTTGTAGAGTAACTGGCTCTTCACCAAATATCTGAAGTGCAGTAAATTTCCTGGAGAGGTCAACAAATGTGCTTGGGTTCAGTTTTTACTTATAAAGATTTACTTCTAATAATTTAATGCAAGTAATTTGTGCTTTAACTGGCTTGATGGCTCAGTGGGCTAAATGCTCCAGCTGGTGTGACAGTGGATTGTACAGATCAGAAATATCCAGTTTTAATCCTTAATCTGTGCTTGGCTGATATCTAGGGCATAATAATTCAACAAGTGTTGCCACTACCAATGTTCTTAAAAGGAAGGTGCATATATGTGTCTGTGTGGATATTGCTGTGATTCATTATGCTTCCCACAATCAGTAATCTGCATATGCTTGATAACCATACTCACTTCAATAGGCGTTGAATAGAGGTACTGGGATTCAACCAATGTGCGCAGATATTTGCTGCAGAGGGGGTTGGGGTCAAATGATTTTTTTTTTAAATTAGTGTTGCTGTTTTATAGGTGAATTTGAGTAGTGCATACAGCTAAACATTCATTTACAAGATAAGCAGTAATTTAAAGGCAACAAAACACAAAATTTCTAATTACTCCATTCCCCTGCATTGGCACCTTTATTTGCAATACAGATAATACAGTTGTTTTCTTTAAGAATCTCCTGGGACTGTACCCTGTGGCAAAATGGTGTGTCAATGCAGTACACCACTGAGTAATGGGATACATGTTTATACTGGTGAGTTCGCGGTTAATGGCCAAGTTGTTGGGAAAGTGCCAGACAAAAGGCACTGCCCCCTCTAAAAGAGAGAGGGAAAATCAGTGAGTGATCTGCACTGTGCCTGTATCTCTCCAAACAGCTGCTTAAGAGCAGCATGGAGATCTGGGAGAATTCTGTCTACTCATCCTTTTGGCAAGAGAATGACAAAAAAAAGAGGGTGTGTCAAGTAAGCAGGTAAAAATACAAAAAAAGTTTGCATTCCAACCCATCAAATCAAATTTTGATATTTTTGAGCCTCATCAAAGACTTCTGAAACTGTGCTAACCATTGTAGATTACAAACTGATTTTATTTTTAACTGGATCACTGAGCATCTGTTTATTACAACGTCTATTATGAGGAATGTGTATGTGTGCACCCAGCTGACTGAATATTCTGTTCTAAATTTTTATCGAACTTTCTGCTGCTTAGGGAGTGGTCAGTGGTTTCTATAAAATAAACCCTTCTTGCTGACCTTCTAATTCTTACGCATGAGCTGGAAAACTAATTTACTGTAATTGTGATATACATAATTTGGTTTGAATAAACTACCATGTGTATTTTCTGTTTGTGAATCATGTTTCTTATAAAGAAGAGTTTTAGATTTTAATTTTTTTTTGGACAGACCAACACAAATGAATTTATATCATTGTAGTTATGTAATCATCATTCTTTAACATTGCTTTTTTAAAAAATCCACAGAGATCTCAATGGAATGGAACCCATTGAAATAGGAGCAGGAGTAGAAAATTTGGTCTTTCAAACCTGCTCCACCATTCATCAAGATCATGGCTGATCTGTCCCAGGCCTCAACTCCCGTTTCGTGCAAGTTCAAGCAGAACCGTCAACTCACTGATATTTCAAAAATGTGTCTACCTCTTCTTTAAAAACTTTCAGTGATCTAGCCTCCACACTTCTCTGGGATTGAGAAATCCAGACATTTACTAATCTCTGGAAGATGACATTTCCCAGTTTTAAATTAGTGTCACCTTAGTCTATAATTCTGCCTCCTGGTCCACGATTCACCTACTAGTGGAAACATTTTCTCAACATCTACCTCATCTCAGTCCTAAAAGGTTTACCCGTAATCCTCAAACTATGACCCTGATTCTTGATTTCACAACCATTGGAAATATCCTTCCTGCATCTAACATGTCTAGTCCTGTTAGAATTTTATGGGTTTCTATGAGAGCCCCCTCATTCTTCTAAAGCCCCGTGAATACGATCCCTACCAACTCAAATCCTCATCAGTCCTGCCTTCCCAGGAATCAAACTTGGTAAACCTTTGCTGCACTCCCTCTATAGCAAGAACATCCTTCCTCGGATAGTGAGACCAAAACTGCACACAGTATTCCAGGTGTGGCCTCACCAATGCCCTGTATAATTGCAGCGTGACATCCTTGCTCCTGTACTTATCCTGTCCCTATGAAAGTCAGCATACAGTTTGCCATTCTTACTTCCTGCTGCACCTGCACATTTACTTTCAATGACTGGTGCATGAGGGCACCCAGGTTTTGTTGGAATATTCGCCTGTCTCAATTTATAGCCATTTA